TTAATTGATATGAGTTTTTACAATTTTTTCCTAAATACTATGATCGTTCCAATTGATGTTAGGGCATCCCCATTGGTAGGATTTTTAAGAGATTAAGTAAGTGGCGTGGCAGATTTTTTAAAGGAGCACCATTGAGAGGCATAATTTATTTAATGAGATTATTTGCTATAATAATCCGGGATCAAAATATGAATCCAAATTATTTTAAGATTATGTAAAAAGTATATGTAATAGAAGTTAATGCAAGAACAAAAAAATCGGATTATTTGAAGATGATGGTTGAGATACATAAACGAATATTGAAATTATTTAAACATTAATTATATAACAGTATTTAAAAGGTAAGAATCATAGAAAAAATTGATTATTAGAGATCATGAATGGAGATGCTCTTATGTCATTCAAATTTTATATTAATTACCAAGCTACCGTCACTAATTACAATCAATCTTGGTCTTTGATTTCATATATTGGATGATTAAATTTTATTCTTATTTCTCTCCTAAAACCTTTTTCTCACCGGAACCGCTCCCTATATATATATATAATGAAAAATTAGTTAATACGACATATTTGTATTTGTTATGTTTTGTACTCTACTTGCATGTAAAGATATTTGTCGATAACAATAACAAATTGCATTTATATTTTTTTCATGATTCATTTGAATAAAATTGTGAATATTACAACATTTGTAACAATGACTCATTTAGTTTTTTTTGAATAGTTTATGTGATATTATAAATGCTAATCAACTATAAATTTATTTTTTGTGAGAAGTAGATCTTTTTTCTAGTGATGGAAAAGATGTTAGAAGTTTTAATTTATAATATTTTATTATTATTTTTCTATCTTTTATTTCTTTTTACATTTTATTTAAATAATAAATAAAAGAAGATGAGATGAACTACTACTTTCATGTTCTAACCCTAAAATATAGAACTCGATCAAATAAAATAATAAACATAAGAATCCAAATCAAATCGAACTAAGTTGTACCTAATAATTTTTTCATTTTGGTAAATCGAAATTCAAATCGAACCGAACGAAACTGAACCGAAACCAAATCAAAATTCAAATGGTTTTAATTTGGTACAAATTCTGCCAAACCGAATAAACCGAACCGAAATCGGAAAAATCGAACCGTAAACCGAATTGCCCACCTTAATCGATAACAATGAAATACTCCGTAATAGTGAGGGTATATGAGCTTCCCTTGTAGAGCTGCACGTGAATTGCATGTCCACCTGGCCCGGTTTGGCAATCGCACGTTCTTACCATTAAATGCGTAAAGAGAATGTTTCCCAGATTTAAACAAAAGGGCAGTTTTTCTTTTTAATCCAAATAAAATAAGTGTAGAGGTGTGATTTTCTGTGATCACTTGGTTGAACCATATACGAGGCATAAAACAAGCGTCTAAAATGTAGATTGAACATAATTCTCTTTGTAATTTAACAGATGAACTCCATTCAGTTTCACCAATTGAAGTCATTCGACCAATTTCTAACACAAGAGACCCCACATATTCCCTCTGTCTCATAAAACAACTTTCTCACCTAGTTGTTTCTTCATTTGTTCAAGATACATATTCCCTTTTTCGGTTGTCCGATTAACCGAAAACCGAAAACCGAAAACCGAATCAAACTATACCGAACCGCGACCAAATAAAACCGAACCGCTAAAAACCGAACTGAACCGTAGTAGCTTGGTTCGGTTTTGGTTTTTACCCTTCAAAACAGAACCGAATCGAACAAACAAAACATAAATAAAATATGAAATTTTATTTGTTAAATGTAAGCACTAATCTTAGTATCATCAATAATATTTGAATTTCTTGTACTAGAGAAATAATGTTTATGCCATATTTAGTTTAGTTTATAAATGCATTTACACATTCATTACCCATAATAATGTAGCTATATTGATCTATTATGTCTTTTATGTATGTATGTTGCAATTTGTTGCATGATTATATGTTTTTACTAGTTATTAGTAGTAATTAACTTTTATTTTTATGTAACTTAATTCTTTTTTGTAACTTAACTTTTTTATATTGATAAAACAAATAAATATTCATCTCGGCTAAATCACCCAGGACGTATGTATTCATAAACGTTTTTCAAACTAGTCACAAACATTGTAATTAAGAATAGATACACACTTTTATCTCTCCCGCATACTCATATAATTCAAGACATTTGTTTATTATTATTTTCTTCATTTGTTCAAGTATGCTTGCATTTTTATGTAATATGTTTGATCCCTCACACTTTTATATCAATTTTAAATTAAATGACAAATATTTAGTAAAAAACCGAAATCGAAATCGAAATCGAAATCGAAATCGAAACAAACCGAACCAATCAAAATGTGGTTTGAAGTTTTGGAGTGTAAAACCGAACCGAAACTGAACCGAACTTTTACTTTGATTCCGTATTTGATTTTAGGTCAAAACTGAACCGAAAGAACTAAACCCACCCTTAAATCTTAATATGTCCGACTTCATGAGTGGGAGGGCTAGTGTTATGATATTACCGAGCAATATCAAGCCAGACTAGCCCAATATCTTGAATATGAGTCATCATGTCCATAATTTCTGGTCGAGTTCGGTGCCGCACTACTACCTATGACCTGAGCCAACGGCTAAGAGACCCAACCACCCTTAGCACAAAACGATGATACCCATCATATTAGTTCAATTGTCTTGGAACAAAATGACTGTGATAGTTGACAATTCACTATCCCAAGATTACAAGAGTAGCTTATGCATGTCCCAACCATAAAGTCTAGGGAAAACTCTCATATTTTTATTCACTAAATTTGAGTAATTACTGTCAAACTTGGAAAATACAATCACATTTCAAGTCAGATAATGTCAAAATACGATAATGTCAGATAATAATTACTCATATTTAAGGAATAAAAACATGACAAATTGACAATCAAGTCTAACGTCAACAAATCAACTATAGTCACAACTAGCCTACGTGTCATCAAACCAAGTAATATTATGACATGGCAGAAGGTATAATGCCGGGACTCATTGGCAATGCAAAATTATAAATACCGCTTAACTTGCACTTAGAAGCTGTTCTCTTCATCTTAATCTTATTACTTATTCCTTATTCTTATTTTATTCAGAGAAGATCAGATCAGATCAGAAAAATTCAGATCAGATCAGATCAGAAAAATTCAGATCAGATCAGATCAGATCAGAAAGATTCCGATCAGATAAGAAACATTCAGATCAGATCAGATCAGATCAGAAGCATTCAGATCAGATCAGAAGCATTCAGATCAGATCAGATTAGTTCAAAAATATTCATACCAAATTGGAAGCATTATATTATTATCTATTATATATTACTATTACTATTACTATTATTACTATTATTATTGTTATTTTTTTATAATAATAATACTAATAATTATTATTAATATACTTACTATTATTATTACTATTATATAATATTACTCCCTCCGTCCCATATTTAACTCCGGTTTTGAGCGGGCACGGGTTTTAAGATAGTGGAATTTGTGTGGTGGAGAGTTATGCAGAGGAGAGAAATGTGTAAGAATGGTTGTGAACCACATATTCTTTACCAAAAAGGGAAAAAGAAGATAAATTTGGGACGGACTGAAAAGGAAAGAATGAAGATAATTCCGGAACGGAGGGAGTATATATCACTGTTATGTTTTACGGAGTAATTTTTAGTATTGATTTTTTAATAAATGCTAAAATTGAGTACTCTGTACCAATCCATCTAATCTAAATATATAATATTGTCACAATCTAAATATTATTATTATTATTATTATTATTATCATCATCATCATCATCATCATCATCATTATCATTATCATTATCATTATCATTATCATTATCATTATCATCATCATCATCATCATCATCATTATCATTATCATTATCATCATCATCATTATCATCATCATCATCATCATCATCATTATTATTATTATTATTATTATTGTTACGAAGTATTATTTTTACTATACTTATTAAATAATAATAATAATAATAATATTAATAATAATAGTTATTATTACTATTATAATTATTATTGATATTATTATTGTTATTGTTATTATTCTTATTATTATATACCAATTTAGAAAGTTAAGATCAGATCAGAAGGATTCAGATCAGATCAGAAACACTCAGATCAGATCAGAAACACTCAGATCAGACCAAACAGATTCAGATCAGATCAGATCAGAAACATTCAGATCAGATCAGACAAATTCAGATTAGATCAGATCAGAAAGATTCAGATCAGATCAGAAAGATTCAGATCACATCAGATCAGAAAGATTCAGATCACATCAGATCAGAAAAATTCAGATCAGATCAGAACTTAACCTCTTAGAGCATGTCCGGGAGTTTGGGAGGAGGGGAGAGGAAGGTTTATAGGTTAATTGGAGGGGAAAGGAGGGGAAGTGAATGAAATCCTTTTTGTTTGGATAGAAAAGCCAACGGAGTATTTATAATTAAAAACGTTTCAGATTTATGATAAATTCAAATATTCAAATAATTAAAGCTATATTTATTAGCTAAACTTGTCATTTAATAAGTCATTCAAAACCTCCCTATTTGGGAAATCTAAAATTTGAACATTTGAAAGGTCTAGATGCAAGAAGACTTCAAACCTATCTCTTCCATTTTTTAAACTCCCAAACAAAAAATGTGAGTCATAAACTATCTTCACTCATCCAAACATAATTCCCAAGCATGCCCTTAAAAACTGTAATACTTGGGTTTTTCCATCCTATATTGTGAATTTTGCTCGCCTCATTACTATACATTTATACTAAGTTCTTCTCTATCATTATATCTACAATCTGCTACTTATCCAAACAAATACGGATCTAAAAGGTGAATTAATACTTTTATTTAATGAAATATACCCCCACCCCATCCCCAGCTCCCACCCTCAAGAAAAAACTCTAATGCCCAAGTATAGCCTTAGGCCCTTAGTAGAGTTTCTGTGTGGATGTGTCGATGAGATTTTTTATGAAATTAACATTTCCCGAATGAAAAATTCCTTCATTTTGCTGGTTAAGAAAACCCAACAAAAATGAACTTTTGATTAGCCAGCATCGTAGTATAGTATAGGTTGACATCAAAACTACATTAACAGTGTGCCAGTACTTTTGTCGTTAAAAATTGTTATAAATGACTGAAGATTAAACTGTTTGTAAACTAAGCTATTATTATTCCTGCCCAGCACAATCTAACTCAGCTTCTAAACCTCTCTACTTGTTGTAAAGGTACGCCAGAGAAAAAATAAAGAAACCTGCCATCTGGAATCATTATATCAATTGTTAGGATGTGATGACATTTTGAAATTGATCAATATTTTTATTTGTAAGAAACGATGATGGAGTAGATGAATACCATAGAAAAGGATGCCCCATAGTAGGGAAAAGCAGCTGTAAGGAACCGCTCGTACTCATTGTGTCTGAAGGGCCTCACAGGAATCTGGAAGTAAGAATTTCTTAAGATGATATTAATGAATATTGATTGTACTAAATAGGAGTAAATAGTAATTGCCCGTGCAGGACTAAAATACTAACACCACTGTATATGCGTAAAACACAAGTCCTATTATGCTAATCAAACAAGCCGACTTACAAGTGACTCGAGATCGACTCGATTCTTACATGAACCTAACTCGATTTGATTTAAACTCGTACTCGAACTTGACTCAAACCAAACCAAGTTCAGCCCAACCTATAGACAAACTTTACTCGAAAAACTAGTAAACTACACGATTATGAATTAGTATTGATTTTTTTAGATTCATACATATGACATTATATCATCTATCCATAGTATGAATCCATGCATGAAAAATATACTTATCTTCTACTACAAATATACTAGAGATTCACATATTGCTTAACGTTTTAGACATTATGGGGACTTTAGGCATTCTCATGCAACCTTTAAGAAAATTTAAGTAGGACTAAATGAATTTTGTTCATCTTGGGTTTAAATAAATCATAGACAGCAAGAGAGGCCTAATATTTAAGAGACAACTAAGTGGAGAATTTAAAACAGTGCTTTTATGTTTAAAAAACTATTGATGATTGCACATGTGTTAAAACGTATATCAAATCAAACTCATTGTTTAAAAATGTACGTAGTATCATTTTTTAGAATGAATAAAACTCGAATACAACTCGAACTTTGTCTTTATTAAGCACAGCTCGATCTAAGTTGAACCTCGAGCTCGACTCGCTTGATAAGCACCCCTAAGTCAAATTACAAAAGCTAGAACCACTAAACTTTTGTTGCACAATAGGAGTCTTTTACTCCTAGAGAATATAACAATAATTAAGGATTAAATCATGGGCAAAAATACACTTCTATGACCAATTTAGGGTTTTCTATCCCCTCTACGAAAAGCCATAGCAAAGGCACCGAACAAGGAAAGCTTTGGAATATTAATCTTGACGCATTTTGAATCTACCAAACAGGTAAAGCTTCACCAATGCTGTACTTTTTTTATCAACTGGAGAAGAAAACTTCTGGACATAGCTCCTGAACATATTTGATTGATATTGAGGTAATTGCAATTTAAATATTATTAAGCTTTATTAGATCTAAACACCCACTCCTATTTTGGTACAGTGACAATGTTTTGGTCCTGACTAGAGAAATTTCCATTAAAAACCGAGATGAGAATCTTCTAATACAAAACAATGTTGAGAGAGACATTATAACATTCGCTTTCACATATAGACTGTACTATTGAATTTGTGATGTAAAGAAAGACATGATTAGTTTTAAAATGCACTCCTGAGGCGAGAGGGGCACCCGCACAGCCTCAGCACACCTAGTGCCTCCTAAAACTTGGGATGCAGCTATGCTCTTAGCCTCGTAGTTCAACAGTGTATAAAGCTGATATTTGTGAACTTTCTTAATCCCAACTATGTGGTGTCATTAACATGACGTTTGTAGGGGGACCAAATTACCAATGCTTTAGGGTTATATCAAATTGTCACTTTATTATATTTTTTGTCTCAATACTTCTAGAATGCATCATATTGGTACCAATTCTTTATTTTGTATCAAATTAGTACAATTTTTTTTTAAAATGCGTCTAATTCAGTAAATATACCATAAAAATGTACTACGTGATAAAATATTCCCATTTTTTATGAAAAGTAATGATTTTTCATTAGTACCAGTTGATATATCTCGCTAGCTATTAAAGGATATTTCAAACATTTAAAACACATAACTCCAAAAAAAACTAAGAATTTCACACTGCAAAGATTGTATGAGATGTCTATAAGTACAGAGATTTATCCGCCCATATTTCCATAAATTATCGATACAAACATACAGATGAATTAACAATATTCCTATCCGGGATCTTTAGAAATTTTAGTGAATATCTATAGCTACATTTGTGATTTTAAAATCTTATTACTACAAATAAGCTTCATATAAGATTTTTTCATATAAGCTTCATATAAGATTCGTAGTATAATTTTATTACAAATATACATATTTAAAAGCTTGGTACTTGTTAGACACAAATTAAAGAATTGTTTCCAAGTATGATACATTCTTCAAAAGTATTTGTACCAAAAAGATACAAATAAAAAGAATTAGTACAAAATATGATGCATTCTTCAATAGTACTGGTGCCAAAAAGATTTAAATTAAATAATTGCTTCAAATTCTATACAACCCCAAAGTACTGGTAGCAAATAAGTTCAAAACACAAAGGGCAGCCCAGTGCACATTGGCATCTCCGCAAGGTGAGGTTCTAAGGAAGGGTCCCACCACAATGGTGTATAAGGGGCAAGCCTTCCCTTGTCATTTTGACAAGAGGCCACTCCCAAGAATTGAACTTGTGACCTCTCGGTCACACGACTACACCGTAACCGGTGCACCAAGACTCTCTTCAAGTAGGTCAAAACACAGTTTAAGAAATAATGCAATTAAAATCCAAAACAGTCATCATATATTTTCTTTCACTTGCATGGAAAATATCGTAAGACGACGACTTTTGAGATAGTTATTGTACAGTACTATTATTGGATATGCCAGTATGCCACATCACTTAATCCAATCGTAAATTTGTAGTACATCAGTTTTTTTACATAAAAAGTTCAATTGCTCTTGGGTAAAAATAGAATGACCTAATAAATGCAAAAATGTGAGCAGAAAGGGAGAGGAAGAGAGAATGGACCTGTTTTGAAAGGCTTAAACTTGTGTATCCCAACCTTTCGTATTCAACCTTAAACTGGAATACACCATAAACATCTGGGACCTTGAAGGAAGTATGGTAGAGACCCTGTACAAAGTGGATTTAAAAATTAGAAAGTAAATTTACCTGGCAATTCAGTTACAAAGTAGTCACATCCGAGCTTTTGAGATCAGAAGCAATTGTTCTAACCTGCTGGTTGGTTGACAAGGTTTTTAAAACGTAGGGACTCATCATGTAAAACTGTACTTGGACATCGTCTGCTACATATGGTTCCCAGCTTGTTCCAGACCATTCATAAATCTCAACAGAGAATTCCTTCCAGCCATAGTGAAGCATCAATATTGAGTTTTCCAATATATAAAGTTCTAAATACATTATATATACATATTACTCAAGATGTTTTCACATAAACTGGTTTAGTCTCAGACAAGACCAGGACTTCATAATAGTAAAATACACATAATACAAGACCTTTATCAAACCAAATGAAACCACAGTCCAGACCGGTCTTAAAAGACCACATGAGATCAAACCAAAAAAATTAGTCCAAGTAAAAACATGCTTACACATGCTTGAATAAAAAATTAAAATAAATTACCGTGTCATCGCTGATTCTGTACATAGAAGGTTCATCCGCTTGACCAACATTATGATGTCTAACATTTATAGCCTAGAAGTCAAAACATGTATAATCACATGATTGTTGGTTAGCAAATGCCCCGAGAAATATGGAAATGGACTCTTTCAAAACGAAACATCTGAACCTTGAGATGGCCTCTTTCATGGAAGACCCACTTGCTAATTTCAGTCAGAAACTGTTCATTCCCAGATTTATCATGCCTACAAGAATAAACACAAACTCACAATAATAAGCATAAAGCTAATTGAAAGAACCTATTATTCCAGACGTTGATTAATGTTAACATAGAAATCAACTTATGTACTTACCGAGTTGGGTTTCCAGCTTTCTGAACCCCAGATCTAAAGAATCTGTAACCCAGAAGATGTAATAACAGTCAAACACTGTTTCATCAGTTAATATAGAAGCATAAAACAATTGATGAGATGTTTACCGATTGCTAAACATTCTTAAAGAGCCTGCTATCAGAATTCGAGCATTATTTCTAGCCTGCAAAGTTAAACGGGTTGAAATTTCTGTCACTTCTCGAGTTTGTACAACATCATGTCACTTTTCGAGCATTATTTCTAGCCTGGTTATTGTTTTGAAATGCTAATAGATTAACCAAATAATTATGTTAATGAAATTTCCTGCAGTAACGAAATCTACATCCATTGTCAGGATAAATTTAAAATTATCATATTTCATTTTCGATTGCATTTTCCAAAGCAAAACCTATATATGGATAAAACTTTTCACAGCACATTTTCCTTTCCCTATACCTTGCATACCCTAAAAGCCTAAAGGAAAGAATGTCTCCAATGAGCAAGAGGGTAAAACAACGTTCTTACCATTGCACTTTAAGTTGAACTCAAACTCCCTATTTGAATAAAACAACGTTCTTCATTTTCAATGGGGGATTGTGACGGAAACCGTGGAGGAAGAGCCAGAGAGGAACTACTTAGAAGAAGAGAAACAGACCTGGACAACTGAAACAAGAGAGATTGCAGAACCAGTGAGCGCTGGTGGGTTTGACAACTTCGACCCTGGATTGGCTGAATATGCTGCTGGTGATGCTGATAAAACCTTTAAAACCTGCATATATGGTGATTGGTGAGCTTGTTACTATTAAGACATAATAGTTGTTTGAGGTGCACACACATCATCATGCATGGTCTATATATATTTATTATTTGCATTCTTGAACACTTATGGGAGGAAAAAGCTTACCAAGCCATTCGTAGGATTTACAGAATGAGCAATCCCATGAAAAAGTACTGGCACCTGCAGTAAAAAGCATTCAAAAATTTCAGAGAAAAATAATAACAAATTTGCAAAATATTCCCAATAACAAAAATCGTCTTACAGTTGATGAGAGGATGGTGTAGATAATAAATAGTTCATACCTCAATGGTTTTGCTTCCTAGAATAACTTCAGATTGAATGAAATCAGAGGCAGCGATCAACCTATGATCCCCATCTGTGTCAGACACTGCATAGCTTTTGTGATCAATAACTGAAGCTGCAGGGTCCTATCATTATGCATTTATTTATAATTAAAAACAGTTAGAAAGAGTAAAATCCATAAATCATGTTTGAACCAAAGCATAAATATAAAGTAAAAGGATCACAAGAAGGTCACTAGTTCAGCTCCTAAAGCTCCCAATAGGTCCATTGGAGGTCTAATGGGAGCTAACCTGAGGTCTCATAAGATTAGTTGACCAAAATGGTCCGAACACCCACTGTAGTAGTAATAATATTCATAATAACAACAATTATTATTATTACACTGCGTAAATATAATTATAGTAATAATCATAATTATCATAAATATAGAAAGAAGAAATATTGTTAAGTATCCTATTATCTTGCAAAATGTTAAAATAATGAGTACCTCATCAAAATCAACTCCACACTCCGTAGCTATTTCACGGATAAGATCAGATGCAAAAACATCAGCTGCCAGTATCAAATTACGACCAGAATCCACAAAATTCAATATTGCTGCAGCATCAACATTCCCTCCAAACCCTAACCAAAAATATTAATAATAACAGAAATCAAGACACGGCAACACTGACTATCACAGCTCACACATTTCCAGAGACATTGCATTTATAGTTATCCAGGTGGAATTTGTTGAAGTAGTCACTAAGATAATCGGATCTAACAATTAATGAACGAGATGTATAGTCAAAGAGCGGACTCACGGTCAATGGAAGGGGAGAAGAGAATCAAAGCTTCGTATAAATACTGGCCGTATCTTTGCAAGGCGATCTTTGGATCCCTGGCAAGCTTGAATTCGAGATTGTATCCCCGATTTTCTAAGGCCTTAAAGTAGAGAGAGTGAGACGATTTGATACCAAAATCGTCGAGCAGAACCAAAACTCGAGGGCTGGTATGACTGTCCGGCGAGAAACCGCTGCACGTAACCGCGATCAAGCTCACGATCAGCGTTAGTATTAATCTCCTGAGCATTGTGAAGCTTAACCGATGTAACCAAGGATTTTAGCAGACGTAATCAGCTGGCCTCTCAACACTCTGCAGTAACAGCTCCAGAGTCCGATTACACTAGTGCACTACCAGGAACATTTTGTGTGTTTGCACTTCATAGAAGTTGTACTCCTACCACGCCTTTCCTACATTTCTCTAACAAGAGTATTATTTAAGAGTACATATTACAAAATTTGAAAATCTAAAGATTGCATATTTAGAGGGTGTTTGAATCTAATTCTTAAAACTGCTTCTGCTCCTTCAGGGAGCATAAATTGAAGTGTTTGGGTGAAAATGCAGAAGTGATTCTGATGCTCTAATTTACTCCTGGAATCAGTTTTTTTAGAAGCTGGGGGGTAACAGCTTCTGAAAACTGATTCTGATTCTGCTTCTGCTTTAAAAAAAGAAACAAAAGCAGAATCAGTTCCAAACACCCCCTTAAAAAGAGATACATATTACAAAATTTGAAAATGCAAAAAATAAAATAAAATACCAAACTCTCAAAATGTAAAAAAGTACGAAACAATAATAAAAGTGTGAAATAAAATACGATAAAGTAGAGAAAGTATGGATAGTTAGATGTTTTTAAATGAAAAATTTACGAGGAATGTCACAAATATATTACATACAAGTCAAAAGGGGAAAGTGTTTTAAATACTTAGAGTTTTGAATAAGAAGAGAGTTGAAATTTGATACTCAAAATCAGACGAGTACTATAGAAGAAAATGAAAATATATTGATCAATAAAAATAATGTAGATTACTTTTAGGCATGTGAAGTATAGTCAATCATATAACACGTGAAGAAATTTATATATATATATATATATATATATATATATAGAGAGAGAGAGAGAGAGGGAGTTTGAGTTTAGATTGATTTTTGTTCAGATTTGAGTTTGCACTGTATTTCTAAAGCAACTAATATTTTCACCCCTAATTTAATGGTCGCAGCTTCTACTATTCAATGGCAGTTACCAATGATATATATCTTCTTTAAAACTACACATCCTGACATTCTCACTCGCTATCTGTCAGCATGTGATTAAAGTCTGATTTACATTTTCCCGGTTAATTATCTGGTGCGGTGTTGAGGATCCCTCGGGGATGAGGTGACATCCTTTATTTCAAACTACACATGAAGAGTCAACGGTGCAGGAGGCGTTACAGGGTTATACAGTAGTTAGTAGCATCACTGAAATTTAATTTGTCTGTATCAAGAATTTGCTTCTATCAGTTCTATGTTATTTTATTGAGGTGGAGATCAAAGATGGATTGCTCTAGTTTTTGTGGAAACGATCTTACCAAACAACCACATACTTTGCTTGCAAAGCAGTGCCGGGAAGCTTTAAAATTCATAGCACAGTTCATTTCACTTTCAATATCATTTTAATAGGATTTTTTACTTCAACCTCCTATTCTTATTCCATAAATTATATTCTCGGATAATAAAATTATCATTCAACTTATCATAGGAAGTAGTTTTGTTGGAGGAGGTATTCGTAAATCTCATACAAGTATTACCTTTTCCATTTCAAGTGATTCATGTTATTGTAGTCATTTCTTTCTTATTGTAGCCATTTTTTTGTATAATTGATTGTTAAGCACAATACTCCTACTTGTATTACGGATTATCCATCAGTAATTTACACTAGTCCTCGTTTACATCCAAATAGCTTAAAAGAAAGGTCAGCGCTCAAAATATCCACTTCACAATCATTTCCAAAAGACATCCAGAGGAATAAAATCAAATACTTACATGGCCAAAAAACTATATTTCTGACAAACTAAAAAGATAAAAGACATTAGAAAGGCATTCAAAAAATGCAAGAAAGCCTTTCGCTCAACCCATAAACTGCACCTATGGCTATGATTTATTCTTAATTAGAGACTCATTACGTAATCATCATCAGATTCGGGATTTTCCTCCCTACTTGCCTCTGCTTCAATCGCACCACTTGCTTGCCCCTTGTCCTGGCCGAATGAAATCTAAAAAACTAATTTGCCATTTGCTTGTTTTTCATTCCCCCCAAAGGAATAGAGGTTTTAAAAATTATTTTTTATGATGAGGTTGTATGTATATGATGGATAGTCTACCCGGGGGTATATATCCGAAGGGTTATTACGGGGAATAACTTAGAGAGAAGTCGGAGCAAGTAAGTAAAAGTAGAGAGAGAGTGTATTCAGTATGAATGTCGTTTTCAGCGTGGTTACAAATGAGGAAATGGGGTGCTATTTATAGTAGCAATAAATGCCGGACAGGGACACGTGTCAAGCGCTCATTGGCCGAGGGGTCACCTCAACTGGTTGGCGCTGGCAGCCGCATGTGGCCGCATTTAATGCGGCTGTTGGATGGGACGTCTGTGCAGGGTACGGTGATCTGCACGCATGTGAGGCGGATATCTTGTCGAGTGAGATGCCTTCGGCTATAGAGCAATGGCCGAGGGCTCCTCCAACCGATGACACTCTGGTGCCGAGGGCTCACAGTGCCGAGGGCTACTGTTTTCGCCGTTTTCTCCCAGTTTCTTAATTTGCTTGCGAAGCCCGTCCTGTGAGAGTTTAGAGCCTTCGGCCAGGGGGCCGAAGGCACCCCTGGCGCGTAGTGCGGGCTGCTTGGTACTCTGGGCGCTGTGAACTGGGCCTGTTGGGCCTTCTGGGCCTGTTGGGCCTTCGCTGGAGTAGTAGGAGTCTGTGGGCCGGGGGTTCCCGGGCCATATACTCCATCAGTATACTTACTGGTACTAGGCACCAATATCTTCATTAGCATTGTCTTCCCAAATTGGAATTCTTCTTGATGGAGACTCGTGAACCTAGACTGAAATTTCAGGAATAAAATCATTGTCCAGTTTAGCTATTGCTTTCTAGATGCAAGTCTAATTTCAAGTATAAAACAAGGCTCTTATAAAGCATCAAGAGTTTGTGAGAATGTATGACTTTTACCACACTTGTCACTTTTCAACTAAGAGGCTAATACTTTGTAGCTATTTTCAGCTAAATCTCAACTAAAAAAGTATTGTTATCACAATTTGCAAGTAATAGTTTATACCCCAAAATTATTACTCCCTACATCCGAAATTCATATTGGGGTCGTCCAAAAATGATCTTCAAGTTTCATGTAATGGAAAGAACAGTGTAGGTGATAATGTTTTTTGTCTTTTAACTATATGCTAACCACACAATTTTAATTTTCTTGATAATGATAGTCCCAAAATACTAAACAATCAAACAACCATAGCAGTTATGAAGAAGCAGATAGAATATTATGAGATGAAAAACCGAATCTGGTATACCGTGTAAACTGGCCGCTGCTCTTCCTGGAGAAGGAGAGCAGCGGCAAACCCTAATCTGTCTATCTCTACGCCTCTGTTTTCTAAAGCCTCAATCGTTAGTTTTGGGTTCCCGTAAGTTAGCCTCCTTTTATAGGAGAAGTTGGCTAACTTACGTGTTACAAGGAAGCTAACGGGTGGATACACATTTGTGGCCCGTATTACACGTTAAATTAATAACTACACAAATACAAAGATATTTAATTAGATTGGACACCATAAAATATTCCCAACAATCTCCCCCTTGGTGTTCAATCGTGTTGAATCAGCATTGCAGCGCAGATATCTTTGTCTTTGTTGTTATTCAGCTTCCTTTGTCTTTGAACTTGACTTCATGAGAAGGCTTTATGAAGAAATCCTTGCAATCTCCCCTTTGATGTCTTCTTGGCAATTTGATATTTGATGCCGGGGGTTGAGGAATCTTTTGCTTGTAATCCTTGCCTTCCAGAAGTTGCTCTTGATCAGCTTGGATGAAGTCCGGTGACGCCTCTAGAATGAATGTTTTTTGGAGAATATGAGACGCCCATGGAATTCATCTTCAACAGATTGAGTATCTGACCCTTGTCCCCTCCACAATGTAGTCTTTTTGACTGTTTGGAATGAATGCATTTGAGGAGAACTTGTCGGTGGCACAGCGGAACATAATGTAGTTTGATTTGTGAGCGTAGCTGACCATTTGAGTTGAGAAGATAGTAGAGAGAGTGTTGGAGGAGAGAAGTGTCCCTGCATGATTTTTTTACTGTTAACGGCATGTGGACCACTCTCCCCCTCATGACGATCCGATGACTCGGGGCGTCATGCCTTTATTCTTTTATTCTGCGGAAATAAAACAGGAAAAACAAGCAGAATGTAAAGAAGATAACGTAGCCCCCCGGGGTCGTGAAGACGCCCGTTATCATCACTATAGAGATAAACTCTGAAGCGATGGCCTGAAAATGTTGGTGATTCTTATGTTGCAACAGCATGACTTCCTTCCAATCATTGGTCTGTATTTGTAATAGATGAGCCCTATGGAAGTTCTCGCGGGTCATGTAGACCTGCAACTGACTCAAAAAGTGCGTCTGTGTCCTAGAAATTTCAAAACATTTGGGAGTGAGGTAACTAGACACGACGTGATCAATGAAAGTTCAGTGGCATGGGGCTGAGGCCACTGTAGTCAGTATCACTTGCCTCGGAAGGAGACAATAATGAGAGATGCGGTTCCCCGTGAAATATGATTAAGCACCTGTCTGTTGGGAGACAAGTGAGTGGTCTTGGGTAGGGTTAAACATGCATTGTTGGACAAGATGCAGTGACTTCTACCTGGGATCTGATTAAATCAGTCCTGAACCTATTTGGGAATTGTCCAGAGTATTTGAGTGGCTAGGAGTAAATGTTCAAAACATAGTAGGCAGTTGAGGTAGCAGACTCATCATTGATTATTGTTTTCCTTCTCACTTGAGCCTTCTGCTTCCTAACTCTCATAATGATTACTCACTCACTCACTCACTTACTCTCGGCTTTGTCCCTTGGGTAGGCTTAGTTGGGTTTATTAAGCCATAGGGACATGTTCTCTCATTGATTTTCTCTCTGCACTCCCCCTCAACTGGAGCACTCGGTATGGTTTGTCATTGTTTGGCACCGGGGGAGGATATCATTGAAAACTCCCCCTAAAATGTTGCATCCTTTGAGAGATTCCTTGCTTTGTCGATGTAAGGCGCCGGGAGGAGAAAATTGAAACTCCCCCTCAGAATGTGCAAGGTTTGATTGCTCACAGCTTGTCATCCCCGCCATGTGTGTGGAGCAATCTGAACAAGGTACTACACATGACGGTTTTC